TTTGAACTTTTCTAACGCTGATGATACTTCCGTATTGGACACTTTAGCTTCATCTTATGATGAATTTGTATATTGCAGTGAATTTTGCAATGTAGATACGCTGCTCCTTAAGTTTTGTGACATTGTGCGTGAATGCCAATCAAAGTACGTGCCTCAAAAGTATATTAAACGGAACCCAAGACACCCATGGTATAATAGAGAAATCATTCAACTCACTCGTCGCGTAAAGCGTTTACGTAAGAATCGTCATTCCAGGTGTAACGACAATGTTTCTTCATTTAATACATTGAAAAGTAAATTAGGCACTAAAATGAAAGAGGCTAAAAACTACTACTTCAGCAATACTTTGGCTAGATTTATGAAAAAAAATCCATCCAGGTTCTGGAGATCGATTAGTCCTGTATCGTCTATACCTTCATCATTTATTGTTAATGACCAATCCTGCTCAAATCCCGAAGCTATAGCAAATGCCTTTAATAATTATTTCAAATCTGTTTTTTCCACTGATAACGGCATCAAGCCTTCGTTTTCTGCATGCAGCAATCTGTCTGCTCTTCCTGATCTTGAAGTAAGCTCCTCTGGAGTACATAACCTTATATTAAATCTTGATGTAACGAAAAGCTCTGGCCCAGACGGTATTCACAATGTCTTTCTAAAAAGATATTCAGAGTGGTGTGCTAATTATCTTACTGTAATATTTAAAAAATCATTAATCTCTGCAACAGTTCCCCAGCTGTGGAAATTAGCAAACGTCGTGCCTGTATTTAAGTCTGGAAACAAGCAATTAATACCAAATTACAGGCCAATATCTTTACTTTCTACCAGCTCTAAACTTTTGGAGCATATCATTCATAAATATATTGTAGAATACCTAAATGCACACAATATACTTTCCCGATCACAGCACGGTTTTCGTGCTTGCTATTCTACTGTTACACAGTTGCTTGAATTTACGCACGACGTCGCTTCTTCTCTTAACGACCGAGGACAGATTGACGCCATATTTATTGATTATTCAAAGGCCTTTGACTTGGTTTGCCATGCTAAACTTTTAGTTAAACTTCGCACATTTTTTGGTGACAATAAGCTAGTTGACTGGATAGCAGATTACTTGCGGTCACGCACACAATTTGTTACGTTTAACCATGTGAAATCATCTGAAGTACAAATCACTTCAGGGGTGCCCCAAGGTTCGGTGCTTGGGCCGCTCTTGTTTATTATCTACATAAATGACGTAGCAGAAATTATCGGTGACACACAAATTAAACTAAGAATGTATGCAGATGACTGCGTTATCTATAACACCATCTCTAGTGTTGAAGATCAGGAAGCCCTGAACAGTGTTTTTTCATTGTTTTGTAATTGGAGTGAAAACTGGCAAATGTCAATTAATTTCAAAAAAACTGTAGCCATGACCTTTTCAAATAAGAAACAGCCTCTTAGTTTTGCATACACTAATAATGGTGTCAGTCTAGCTCGTGTCACGGAGTTTAAATACCTAGGTGTAACTCTGACAACAAACTTAAAATGGCGCACGCACGTCGAAACAATCTGCAACAAGGCTCTTCGAAAACTTTGGTATCTCCGACGCACTTTAAACAACTCGACAAAAGAATGCAAATTGACAGCGTACAAGACCTTGGTCAGGCCCATACTTGAATATGCGTCGGTTGTTTGGTCGCCTCACCATAAACATGACATAGCTATGTTAGAATCTGTTCAGAAGAAAGCAATAAGGTTTATTTTTCGTCGCTATGACCAGCGGTTCTCGCCTACTTCGCATGCGCATGTTTTATCACTGCAGTCTCTAGAACATCGGCGCACTTGCGATCGTATCATCCTCCTGCATAAGACTGTTCACACAGGCTTGGGTGTTCTAGCGCCCATTTCTTTTGTTGCAGCTTCTGCGCGCCGTACCCGACGATTTGATCCCTTAAACATTACGCCCTTTAGAGCTAGTCTCGACTGCTTTAAGTTTTCCTTTTTTCCGTGGACCGTGGATCTATGGAATGAGCTTGATGGGTCTCTGCGCAGACTCGATGCTCTGCAATTCGAAAAAGAGTTGCGTAGTCATGTATTCTGATAATTTGTTTTACTGTTTGAACATTTGTATTCCACTCCTGCAATGTCTCAAAAACTGAGACAGCAGTATTTGTAAATAAAAAATAAAGTCGCACTTTACCACCCCGTTAACCAATTATATGCTCCGCATCCTCCTCAGTGTTCCCCGAGGGAAGCTGCGGGCAATTTTTTATAGTAGCAAATATTATAGGTATATATCAGGCAAAGCAGAGAACGCAATAAAAAGCTGTGTACATTTGATCAACACTGACTAGAACAACACCGGTGTCTCGTTTCTGCACGAAACCGTCGCTACTTGTCTGCATGCCACTTTCGTGGGCATTTTTCGAACTTATAACTTACACCCCTGCATCGGTACACTTCATTGCTTTATATATGAATTACGAAGATCTTCATAAAGGTCTTATTCAGCTTGTAAAAATTATTCGGGTAACAAGAGGAAAAACATTGGCCGTTGCCATCATGCGTCGGCAAAGGACGAGTCATTTACTTGTCTTTACCGTATTATTAACAAACAAGATCTGAAATGAAGCCACTGTCAACTTCAACTATAAAGGTAGCTTACCTTTAAAAAGCGATAGGGGTGCTCAATGTCATTAAAGTCAAATAAAGTCCAACTGTCTTTTAAAAACTGAATCAAGACGTTAATGAAAAACTGATGTATCACGTGCCAAAGTCACAACGTAGTCGCGAAGCACGTCGATGTCGTGGGCGCGCGCCTATATGGAATCACACCGGTGTCCTTCGAAATTCAGCCCCACATAATTGGTTCTGATGTAAAGGCAGAACTTCAGCAATGTAACTTGTAACACCCAGCCTCTCTCGGTGTGATGCAAGTCTCAACGATTAAAAAATGAGAAATTAGACGGCATTTTAGAAATATTTCTCGAAGAGATACTGACTTCTTTTTTTCTTTTTTTTTGTAAACATAAATTTGCGCGCTAACAGCGAGACAAAAGCGCGACGACGCATAACGCGGAGCTGTCGAGCGGCCGTCGCTCATTTCGCGGCGCCGGCAAATTTCATCGCCGTCCCGCATTCGACGCCGCTGTTGCAATGCCCGAATCGCAACGGACGCCCTATAATGAAGCTGTCGCACGCAGTCAGGGCTTTCCCTTTTTTTTTTCAGAATAGAACGCACGTGACGGCACTGACAGTGTACGCGGGAAGAATTTTTTTTTTCCTGCGCACTTGTTCTCGATGCTGAATGCCAACACAAACAGAGTGAGGGCACGTATATGGCTTTCCCTTTCGGGAATGTAGCGCGCAGTTTTCGGAGCCACCCCCGGCTGCCCGTCTGACATGGCGCGAAACGTGCTGACAAGTATGGCGCGCATCGTGAATGGCTCCTTTCCTTGTCATGCTATCCTTGATATGACGCAAATAAAACGCCTATACGTCTCTCTCTCAGTTTCTGTCCGTCTGTTTAAGGCGACAAAGCGGCACTTTCGGCTGAGGACGCCGCGACAGCGTACATACAAACGTAGGTTTACGAACATTTACATACACACGTGAAGCGTGGATGCACTGAGGCGCCGTCAGCGAAAGCGAACGGCGGATTTCCGTGGTACGGGCCATGGGCGTCGGCGGGGGTGGTGCAGAAGAGACGCTTGCCTTCTCAGGCCACACCAGAGGTTGCCGGCACTCAAACTACACCAGCGCTATTCTCCTCCTCACCCGCAACGATTAAACAGAGATTTGCTTACCACTACTCCCTCCTCCCCCCCACTTCCCAAAGACAAAATCCGGCTGACACTCATAGTGCGGGCGTACAACCCATAATGGCAAATCTGACCTTTTCGCAATTAGCCTTTTTTCGTTTTTCTGCGCTGCCGCTCGACCATTTTTGATAGGATTTCGATGGGGCCTGGGATGACCGTTACTGCAATACCGGAAGCCTCCGGGATCATGAGGCGTTTCGCGACTTTCCCGCTAGGGGAAGGGCGTGCACGTGCCTTGGAATCGTGGAAGAGGCGGATCGTTCATCAGGCTTATCAACCTCAAGACGATCTCGATCCCGAAAAATCAAATTCACGGACTGGCAACTTGAACGAGTCACCGTATAGACGACTATAAAAATGCGACGCACTGGATCACCACTTTAAATTTGGTTCTGCACGACACGTCGAAGTCAATAATTGTTCTATACGTAGCGCGCGCAGCAGCCGAGGAGGGCGATTTCACAAATTTCAAACACTCTGCTTACCCTTGCTAATACATTGACTTATTCCCTTCGCGATGTCCTAAAATCCTGAAAATGTGTAAGACTGCACGCATACTTCTAAAACAGGTTAACTTAAAGTCAATCAATGACACCAGGAGCTCTGAATAAGCACCACAGGTGACTCTTTCTGTTCCTTCTTCGACCTAAGTTTAGTGCTGTATGTAAGGGTTAGCAGCGTGTATACTCTAGTTTGTCCTCACATTTCTCGATGCTGTCCACCCGGCTGGTACAGAGGTTACGGCGCTCATCTGCTGAACCTAAGGACGTGGGTTCGAACACTGCCGCCGCAGTCGCGTTTCAATGAAGGTAAACTGCTAGAGGCCCGTGGTTTCGACACGTTATTGTGGCACATTGTGGTGGCGGCACGTAAAACGCCAGATATTTTTCACCACTGATGTTTTTCACGCACGCCCGCATGAAAACGGGGCTGAAATATTGTTTTAAAAAGAAAGTTTGAATGAAACACTCGGTATATTTGACAAGCCAATGTGGCTTTTCTTTTATACGTGATAAGAAAAAACTGCATTGGTGGCTGAGTTGGCGTAACGACATAGTCGTGAATACGGATTCATGCCTTTCACTATGTGCAACATATGACACATTCTACAGCTTGCATGCTAAAAAAGAAACAAAAAGAAAACACAAACGTTTGGTAAGACCACATAAGGAAAGCAAGCAGTGTACTGAGGATTACCCTGTTGTAACCGCATTTCAGCAGCGGGATGACAGCTGCTTCCTCCTTTTCGGCCAACCTGAAACGCAAAAGATGAGAAATGGCAGGACGGTATACCGTAATCGCGTTAGGAAAACACAGCGCGCCCCACTTCTGTGCTGTTTGCGCAATACACGAAAGCTCCCGCCCAGAGGACGCTGGCAAAGTTTCCTTTTTACGCGAGCCTCAGCCAATCCCACGGGCAACAATTGGATTTACAGTTGACAGACGGCGCCGTATATAGAGTGACATCGGGGGGTAGTGGCTGTTGTGCCTCTTCTCAGAGTATAAAAGCAGAAAGCGCAGCCCAAAGGCAACGTTGAATGCGAGAGTTCCCGGTTCTACCGCACTGTTATGACAGGTATGCGCAGCTGCACATTCACAGACCTGGGCCTCACTGAATTTGTATAAGGAACGACAGGTGGAGTGACGGACGTGTCAATCCAGCACTTGTTTTTTCACGCCTGCAAGCATGTTGGCAATACCTGAGTGACTGATGAGTTATACCAAGCTCGTCAACATTTTAAAAATTCCATTCGAATCATCATCATCATTAATCATCCTGATTGCGCCCACTGCAGAGCATAGTCAACATACTGCCTTTCTATAGTCTCGTTCTAACTCCGCAACGTTCCCCTTTTGAATTCACGGTTTCCTGTGGACTAAGTTGACTTGCCTTTGTACCGAAGTGCACGCAGTGACAGTGATTGAAAACAAGACAAACAAACAAGGACAGAGAGAGCTTCGTGGACGGCCATTACGAATTCAGACTCATGGACGAATGATACAAGGCGTGAGTGATATTTTTTTTTGAAGTTTAGCCAAATTATGCAGAAAGAAATTATTTATACTCATGAAAACAAGAATAACAGAGAGGAAACCCACAGGCGCACTTTACGCGTGCGCAGGATTGAGATTTCGAATACAGCTTCCATTGGTACTTCATGGTAACGAAAAAACCCAGTTTTCTTTATTTCGGTCAAACTATACGCGCTCGTTTGACCCACCATCAACTGTCGCAAGGGCCGTTAACAGATGACGATAACATGAATATGCACAACAAGCATCCGTATCGCAATTTCGCTTAATTGTCTAACACTCCGTCATTGTTTTGCCTGCCTTTTTACGCAAGTGGTTGAAGGAAGATATAGGTATGCAAATGTGTAACACAGCCAAGCGCCGAAGAAAAGGACATTTGCAGACATATGCGCACTTACCCTTTCTTTACGACAGCGATGATGCACGTGTACTGGCTACCCCTGAAACCTCGAAGCGTCCTGCAAAGAGTGGTGGAATTCACCGTTTTATTGTTTTGATAACAACCACGCATTTGTTGAGGGACAACTGCACAACACGAAGCCGTAACACTTAGTTTCACTTGGCGGTCTGGCCTAACCTTTTTTTAGGAACTTGAGTACATCAACATACAGAACTGCAGCACTTTTCCGTCAGGGTTTATCCCTGCATTCCACAGTCAGTTTAAATGTTTTATTTAAAGGTTCTAAAGAATATTACAAACTTGTACTCGGACCTTGAAAATATGCGCATATAAACGTTATGAAGCCAACATCTCAACCTATAGGGAACCATATGCTTCCAGTACAAGTGGCACTAGCAGCGAAGTGAATTACATTTAATGATTGTGAGAAGCTTGCATTTGAGACGATCGTAAAAATAAGTTTTGGGAAATATTATAAAAGCAAGAACATGTCGAAAAAAAAATGAAAATTTGTTGCACGAATTACGACAACGACAACAAAAATGCGACAACAAAAATAAATAGACTGGTTTTAAAAAAGAGAGAGAGAGAGACTTTGATGCTATATTTAATGTTGACCAATTATGCACAAGTGGAATTCTTGTAAACTTGCCAAAGTAACCCATCGCTGCTAGTTATTTGGACTTCCTCATTTCACGCGTCCGTTAGCTGAGGTGTGCGAAATATTGATTGGTCAAGTTAGTGGAATAAGGGAAGAGCTATAGAGTGGTAGGAAGCGAGTGGTTGTGTTCCTGAACACCACTGATCCTAAATTGCCACACGCTCCGCCTCGTCCAAGAAGCTTGTTTGGGCCTTCAGCTAAGTAGAAAGATCTCCCATGGCTCCCCACTCTAGATAAAGAACTTGGAGTGTATCCAACCCTATACCGTCTATCTACCACCGTTGTCCATACTTAGTGTCAGTTCTACGGCACGCAAACATGCGCCACCTATAGCTTAATCAGCACGTTCGACTAAGAAAGGGCGCACCTGCACAGAGCCACAGGGTCGATGGTGCTCTTGCTCCGCGAGTCGATGAACACCAGGTGGGGCTGTCCGTTGAGGTAGTTGTCGATGGCCGCCTCCGAGGTGGAGCTCAGCGTGCACTCGTAGTGCATCTTGTCGGCAGCCCACTTGAGCGCATTGTACTGCGCGTCCTCCTTGCCGAACACAAACATCACCTGCGAAGTAACACAGCGCGTGTAACGTAGCACGTCAGAGGGGAGTAGACGGACTATCCTTTCGAGAGATCTTTTCATAATAGACGCGTTTACACAGCACTGCTACTATTTCCGCCAGCAGCGCCAATAAAAGCGATAAAGCATGGCTTATAAAAGACGTTTTCCGACAAAATTTAGTGTTCCTTTTAAGTCACGCTGCATGAAAAGAAAATAAACACAAAAAAGCGAGTGTAAAATGAGACACGGGTCAAAACTCGACATTTCGACTTTGCCGGCCTCTGTAGCCAGTACAAAGACTACTTTCTTTGTTGCTCTTTCCAAGCTATAAGTGAAATGGTCCTCGTCTACCTTTTCATGCGTAAAAAAGGGATAATTTCTCACACCGTTCGCGCGGGAAAAATTACGCGGCCGGTGTCAGTGCGTTCGTGACCCGTCAAAAAAGGGGCCAAATTCTGCTCTCCCAAATTTTCAGATCCGTGCAAGAAGCTCGTGTCAGTACAGCAACGTAAATATTTATTTCGTTACTTTAAACTACGAGCTACATAACAACAAAAGTTTAGTTCGCTTGGTGCGCGGGGACAAGCAGGTTGCTTTTTTTTCAAATTCTGTCATGTGAGAAGGGCAAAACGCGAAGACAGGCATACGATTGCCTTAGAGAGTGTTTCATTATTTGAATAATCAACTTACACTAACTACACATTACATTTATTTGTTGAGGGGGGTTCGGACATACGAGAAAAAAATCATATAGAGCTTCCTGGGAAAGCACTGATTGCCGTTCAGGACCTGACTCCTTCCAATCGCGCTGCATTAAGGTAGCTCGAAAGGCTTTCTATACGACAGCAGTCATGTCACCGTTCATTTCTCACCCGGTTCCCTATAGTTCTTCTCTGGTGCCCAGTTCATCGTGAGGGATTGTATGAGAAGCGATCTCGATACAAGGGACCATACCGTATAAGACGACGGGTAACCGACGCTACCTATGAGGTCGTTCCAGTCTCCGAGACAAACCTGTCTGCAAACGCCCCGAGTGACGTAGTCCACGCCAGTAGGTTGAAACCATACCGCCCTTTTTGTGAAGACCACGTATAAAGTGTACCGAGACGGCGCTTTTACAGCCGGAGAGTATTATGTACGTAGCTATCTCACGAAGGATGAAATATTCTGCGAACAGAAGAAAACGAAGAGGACTGGCTTTTCCGTTGTGCGTGCTGTGCTTCGTCTCTGTCGGTCTGAATACGCTCGCAAATACTCACGTCTCGTCTCATTCCACGTAACAGTATTTTCCGCCTACATTGACTATGCTGAAGGCCTAAAACGCGCTTTACCTGAACATTTTCGGTGCCTACAAAACATTGTTTTGCCTGCATATTTCTGGCGCCTCCAACGCGCTTCTGCAATGCCTTAAAATCCTGCCTCTATTAATTGCTTATGCGGAGGCATTTAAGATACGTTTATCGAAACACAAGGTGCGTCTACACTTTCCGTATACACTATTCCCTATCTCCTTTGGGGCTTTGGTGTCATCGATCAAAGGATACTTTCTGTATGCCTCTATTTATTCTCGCACCACCAAAACTTATTGTCGTATCATATGATGTTTCGAAAGAAAAACTGCTGTAGCAATTTACTCCATACTGATAGTTTCCGGTTAGCCCAGTCATAGAGAACGACATAAAGAAAACGTCAATTCGATACCTCGATCGGTTTACGGATCGTCGCATCGCAAAGACGAGTAAAAAAAGAAATACAAAGGTGATAAGAAAGAAAGAATATATTTACTGGAGCGTTCGTCTTCACTACGTTCCGATGTCACGTTACGCGGTACACAATCCCGTAAAGCAGCAAGATGAAAAAGCTTGCACCAAGGGTCGGGTGTTGAGGGACTGGAAAGCAGCTTACGATGCCGCGGCGGCGGCGGCTCGAATGACACTGTGCCGCACCAGGACGATTATCGTACTACGCGGAGCATGAAATAAAGACTCTTGTGTAACGTGTTTTCTTCGCATCGTACTAAAAGTACAATGCAGTGCGCTGCGGATTCAGTTTACTTACATTGTAGCTTTAACGGGAGCAGCGGCTATAGAAAAAAAAAAAAAGGAGATGCCTGCCTGACGCCCAGTCTTGTTGTTGTTCGTCACCACCTTCGTTCCTTGGTCATCACTGGTGTTATCATTAGATTCATTACCATTAAGTAGACAAGAGGTTTTCGCTGCAAGTATCTGCTATTAGTAAGTCTGATGCTGCGAGTCAAAAGTTTAGAGACCACGAGACAAAAGAAAAACTGAATATCCCCACTGCCTTGGTGCGCAAGCTATTCGCAGGACTGCATGTAAGAGCTATTGTCACTGCAACGAATAATATGCTCTGGCGTTAAGAGGCACGGACCAAATCAAGGAAGAGAAGTAGCTGTCCGTTATCAGGAGCCCCGCTGTGGGGGATCAACTATAGGGCTGGCCAGAGGGCCACGATGCGGCGTTCGCATAGAAACGGCGGTCGGGCTTGGCCGTACTTTCTCAACGTGGGAGTGCCCCGCTGCGCTCCGAGTCGTGCACTTCAGGACTATCGATAGAGTTTTACATCCATCCACACGTTAGGTAGGCAGCCTTGAATTCTATTTTCCGGCCTGTTCCAAAACACGCAACAACATGCATACCTACTGTGCAGCGGGGGCGTATAGGTAGAAGTTTTTTGAGGGGCGGGGGGGGGGGGGGCACCTCCTTCATTTTTTTGGGGAGAGGGGGGGAGGCTCTGTTAAATGGCCATTTTTAGATCTGTATGCCATGGCGAAAAAAATTCGGGGGGGGGGGGGGGCACAGGCTCTGTGTGCCACCCCCGGCTGCACCCCTGCTGTGCAGTTCCACCAAATACAGTCACAAATTCTAGAAAAATTCCAAGTTTTCGCTGACTGCACGGTCTCTACATTTTTGACGCCAACTGCACACGAGAGCGTCATCTCCACAGTTCTTAATTTAAAAAAAAAGGTCACCACGCTGAACAAGTAAGGAGAACGATGCCTTTCCTTTCATAATAGCACGGAAGAGTGCTGTAGATGCGGATAAATAAGCGTCAAACACACAGCGTGTTACCGAAAAAAAGCAGCTTGTCTGAGACAAGAAACTTACGATATCAGCATAAAGTGCCTGTTTTATGACAGAAACTGACGCTATAGGCTTGAAGAACCTACACGGCGCAGGAAACGGTAAAAACACACGCTTTGTTCCCTTTGCTATAGAGTTTTTCGGGAATGTGAGCTCGCAGAGGTGTATACGTCTCGCAAGCACAAAGTCATCTCTTTCCTCGATTTAACGAGCTCAACGCCACTGCAAAAATAAGTGCTTCCCGAGCCAACGCAGCAGAAAAAGGCGCAGTTGTTCATGGCAAGCCGTGGTGTGTAGCTGCGCCGTATATACGGCGAAAGAGAAACATCACAGCGAAAAGCTGACTATACGTTCTTCGGTCCAATATAATTGACGGTGATGTCCTGGCTTCTTCAGCGTTCAAGCACTTCCTCTGTTTTTCGTCAAATGGAGCAACCGCGTTCTTCAGGGAGAGTAAATGAAGCGCATAACCTATTCAATTTTTCAATACTATTAGTGATGTAGTAGTGGACGAACGAAAGGAAAGTGATTACATTTCTTTTTTTTTGGTAATTAAGCGATTCTCACCGAGGTGTGCAATCACTGCGATTCGCCTTTTTTTTTGTCATTTTCCTGCCTGGCCTTCTGCCGTTTTGTTAGGTGCCGCGACCACTGGTACCGCCCCAGCGAAAGCCTCCGAAATCAAGACTCATTGCGTTAATTTTACACTAGCGGAAGAGTGCATTCACTGTGGAGTCATAAAAAAAAACAGTTTGGAGGATGCCACAGCTTCGCTTTCAAGAGCAGAACGCTACAGCGTATTCGCTGCCATCGCCTTCACTGACGACGCCGAAAAACGAGAGAGAAAGTTGCGCGCAAACTAGACAGGAACGCACAACACACGGACGAACGCAGGAACATTTGTGCGTGTAACATTAGCCGCTTCAAACTATCATAAAATGTACACTGCAAATACAGTTGCGAAGTTCCCGCTACGCTATAATTATTCTTTTTTTGCAAAATGGACAATTATATCCGCTATGCGTTCGTGAGGTGCCATGCACACCTGCACGCAATATATAGGAATAGGTGGGAAGCTTTAATCCCAGCCAATCGTTGCGCAGGTCACTCGTTTTGACGTCTGCGCGCGATTCTACGATTCGGCCATGCATACAGCATTACATGCGTTAAGGAGACCCTCACACTATACTCGACATTCTTATAGCGCTTTTTTTTTTTTTGCGAAGAAGTTTTGAGTGATGACTCCGTGGTAGAATACCTGCTTGACGCGCAGAAAGCCTGGGCTGGATTTTCACTCACAGCTAGGATTCCTCCCTACTTATGTGTATACATCTATCCTAAATTTTACCTCTCGGACAACGCCGCTTTCAAGCTCACAACCACCGATTCCGACTCCGTAATTTCTGCGAAAAAAAAAAAAGCTTTTTTACGCTTTTGTATTAGGAAGCGGCTAGCTAACAGAACTTTTCGTTTTAAGGACAAGCCGAAAAGTACACGAACAAGATCGCTTCTTGGAGCTGATCATCGACCTGACCACCACACTCCAAAAAAAGCAACCAAATGCAATTTGGGTAGATAAGACGCGACAGGCTTATCTGACGCTGTGCTCAAATTAAATCATGAAAACAAAGAGAACTGCAAATAATAATCAAACAAAAAATGTAACATTTCACATATCAGCAGAGTTAAGTTGAAGACCACTTGTACCAATTGTTTACTCTTCGTTAGGCCTCTACGACCGACTCAGAAGGAATTCAAGAGTACAAATGGGTACATTCTTGCTGCTGCTAAAGTAAACCTGTGAACAGCTGTCGCCAGCATAATGTACCACATATCAAACACAGACCTCAATGATGCTAACCCACAAAATGAAAAAAAAAAAACGGTGATGCCGTTTTCTGTTGTTCAGTTATAAAGCCATGTACGCTGTATTTTCTTTCTCGCGTAATTGTACAGTCCTAGGACATCCTTATTCTTATTTTGCGCTAGCCTTGCGAGAAAGCTCACTCTGCTAACAAGCGCTGCTTTGATTTCACGAGCTTACCAAAAAGGCACGCATGTAGTCAGCAGTGCCTTTGAATAAAACTGCCTTTTTTCAGTTTTAAGTCGGTTACTTGCTCAAGTGTGTTTACTAGGGTTACTTATGACATGATTATTCGCAGTCGTGTAACGCTGGCGCTATTCGTTACTTGCCCAACCAATAAGATTTATTTTGTATCCGTTCAGAATGTCGGTACTTCATATTCTGCCTAAAGTTCAAGCCCAATGTAATAACTATTTGATATGTCCATTCGTCGCTAATATAGTTTCAATAATGGTCATGTATGCAACAACTTTGTATTTCTAAGTATTTTGAACCCCGATGCAGGAAAGAAAACAGTGCGCCCACCTTTACAGAGGGAACTGTGAGGTACATGGACCCGTACTTGAGCGCCACGGTCCCTTTCTGAAAGACACGAAGACAAGAAAAAAAATGCATGAGACCATTTTTACACAGGAAACAAACACGAAAAAGACTCCACAAATTCTATGACAGTCAGCAAACACGATGGCGGAGATATGTTGACGAAACACAAACTGATTTCAGGTAACGTCCGCTGCAGTCACATCGACCCCATACCTACGGTGGTTCGCAATAACGGTGCACTGAAATGTGAACAGTCGTGTAAGTACGTCGGCGATCTTGCTTGCGCGCATCCACACTAGGCGCTAATATAGAGTTTCACGCGAACGCCAAAAACGACGATTATGGAGTGTGGTATATGCCGGATTAGTTTTGACCACCCGGTATTTTCTCACGTGACCTTAAACATAGGTACCGAGACGCTTTTGCATTCCACCCCCATGTGAAATGACACCGCCCTGGCCGTAAATTCAACCCGGTGTCAAGAAAGCCCAACCAATGGCCCAACTCGATAAGCCACGAACATGACAGCAGGTCCCCCCCCCCCCCCGTTTTTCATTCATACTATATACACTATGACAAACAAAGAGTACATGTGACTGAGTCACTGAATGCTGACTTCACACGTGTATGAGTCTCTTTAAAGAAACTCGTTTATTATCCTGTGGGTTTTGCGACTCTCTGAAGAGAGTATAGTAATCTCGGAAGAGTGTTGATGTGTCTATTTCATTTATATACGCGGCAAGTCAAGATTAAAAAAAAAGTGTAAGGGCCTTTTTTTTTCCCTTAGAGTGCAAATTAGTCGATCTCAACCTAAGAAGAATAAGTGCAAGCTTCATCCACAGCCATCCATATTCTACGCAGAGAGAACTTGCATAGGTGTCCCGTCCAATCGCATTTACTCATTTCAGTGACGTCAAGAGCCGTACGCTAGATTCAAGTCGGTGGTATACTTATACAGGCGTAGGTTCGTGTACATATTCCTCGGTCAAGAACCTTAACTTTGCGAGCGATTGCAGCAGAAACTTCGACATCACTGCTCGGGGAAGCGCAGTTGCAAGTACATCACACCGCGGAACTCTGGATAAGATTCCGACACGTGCCGCCATAGCAGAAGACGACGTCGACTCCAACTGTGTGGCTTTTTTTGTCAATTCCGTAGCTGTACGTCGCAATGGCGAATTGTGCGAAATTTGACTGCCGCACGAGAAATGTGATTTAGATAAAAAGGGACCAGACGCGGGGACGTGCTGTCCGCCAAGGGTGATCACAAATCAGTTCGACAGTACGAAAGAGTTGCCTGATAAGTAGAACACATGGCATATGCGAGCATGAACAAGAAGGGCCTCAAGACAATGAACAACGTACATGCGCGCGGACGTCGCTTCACAAGAGGCCAAGTTATGTTTTCAAATCTCGACCGAACTTGTTTCACCAATTACGTGCGAAATTATGAACTCGGACACTGCAGAGGATTCGAGTTACAATGTCAACACTGCCTTACTGCAGGCTGCATAATGTGTTAAATGATTACCCTTCGTAATGGGTGAAAGACAAACGACCAAAACACGGGCGCTACGCCAACCCATCCGCCGCACGAACGTGAACACGGGTGGCCATGGAAACATATGTGCTTTGTGGGCTCTGTAATAGAGGACGTGACGACAGGAAGTGACGTCACTTGCAAGTTATGGATATTCAAAGTATGGACGACAAACCTTTCACAAATAATATGTCTAATAGTCTTATTGGCAGCGAAAAAGTACTCGTGGCCACAGCGGAAACCACCCAACATCATTCTCTTGGACAGGGCGGCCGCATCTACATGGCGGGTGAATGGTATTCATCACTAAATTGTAACCCATTACGCGTTTGTGAACAGGGGTAGGTGCCTCGTAGCTACGTCGCGACGAGCAGGCTCCGTCCAGCATAAATCGCCGTTGCCTGCTATGATCACGTGACAGCTGGCACAGCAGCTGCAAAGCTGCCTGAGAGCACATCACGTCGGAGAGCCTCCCGCGCGTCTATGCGGAATAGGCCTATAGTAACAGCGGTCTCCTGCTACGGCTGTGGCGCTGGCGTAGTGGGTTCCCTCTCTCTGTCGTGCACATGAGCATGCTCCATAGCTAGTTTTTTTAGCGCAATGTTAAATTAAAGCGAGTGCAAATGCACTGCTGTGCCTTTAACCCATCACTCGTATAGGACAAAGCGGATATTCTCGCGAATGAAGACAACGATTCGCACAGACGTCACTGCGCATATTTCCCCCCTCTGTAAGTGGAAAGCATGACCAATGATTCAATAAGAATAGCCGTTACCGTAAAAAGCTCGAGCCAGTCGGTCATTGCAAGAGATAACTTGTGACGCTTAACTAATGAAATCTAAAATTCTGTATCTCTTGCCTTTTCCGCTTAATTCACTATCAATGACAGTGTCGATCCCACGGTTTCCAGAGTGGCTGCAAAGAATGGTTTGGAGGAGAAATTTCCGGCCGCAAGACATCTGATAAAAAAAAACGCCAGGCCTGCGCGGATCACGCAGCACAGTCACAGCGTAACCTGGATGTGCCGCCCTTCAGAGCCTTTTTTTTTTTTGAACACTAGTTACTAGTACAGGCACACTTACAGGGTACCGACTACACCATCAATCATACTTATAGGGCGAAGCTCCTTAGGGTCGAGCCATGTCCCTTGTCCATCGGCGTGACACGCTAGTACTGGAAGCACTTGGTAGAGGGCGGGGCGGTGCCCACGCTTGCTCACAGTGCGTGCTGCGGTTTGAAAGGACACCGCTAGGGGCGCGGCTCTCTCTCTCTCTCTCTAGGGTTCCTTAGAGTTACTGTATAGACAAATTCCACCAGACTTACGTCACGACAACGCGGTGGCGCTGCCTTAGTAGGCAAAAGACCCTCTGCCTACCGCAGTTTCTGCTAGGTTTTCAAGGGTGCATGTGGTGTCCTCAGTCAAGCAACGAGAAAAAAACAAAACGGTATGCCAACGAATTGCGTCGCGGTTGGATTTGAGTCGCGTCTCACAACTTAGTTTTGTTTGTTGACGCACATCACAGGCTTCAGTGCTTATGGCGGAAGTTACGTGCGGACATGGCTATAATTTTACCCATGACGTCGACATCAGCCTACCTGTGTTTACAAACATAGAATGGGTCTATATGCTACCGGAGGGAGCATATACAGTAACTAGGGTTCCTCGATGCGCGCGCTTCTCTCCGCCGCATCGAGGAACTTTATCTCTCTCTTTCGACAGCGGTGGTCATGGAGCGCCCGGTAGAGGGCAGGGCGGTGCCAGCTCTCGCTCTAGGCGCGTGCTGCGGTTTGAAAGGAGACCACTAGGGGCGTGGCTGGGCATATGGATAAGCAATGGGACCGAATACCTGAAGGAACACGAAATATATGTAACGACTAAAGGAAACAGGAATGCAGCGGCGATGAGAAATAGGGTACTGTGGAATTACAATAAGTATGATGTTGTAAGAGGAATTTGGAAAGATGTCATGGTTCCTGGTCTGACTTTCGGCAATGCAGTCTTGTGGATAAGATCAGAGGTTCAAGCAAGATTAGAAATTAAGCAACGAGAAATAGGTAGGCTTGCTTTGGGAGCCCACAGGAATACACCAAATCAGGGAGTACAAAGTGATATGGAATGGACATTATTCGAGGGCAGGGAAGCTAGCAGCGAGATAAAATTTGAGAAGCGATTGAGAGAAATGGGAGAGGAGCGTTGGGCTAGGAGGGTTTTCAGCTACTTGTACATGAGAAATGTCGATACAAAATGGAGGAAACGAACCAGGAAATTGACGGGTAAATACTTAAAAAAGGGCAGGGGACCAAACCAAAAAGAACTATCGGTTAGGAAGAAGGTGAAGGATACGGAGACCGATATGTGGAGAATCGGCATGATTAAGAAGTCCACACTAGAGATCTATTGAACTTTTAAGAAGGAAATTGCCAAGGAAAGGATCTATGATAATACGCGGCGTAGTTCCCTACTGTTTGAGGCCAGGACGAGAGTATTGCGAACCAAGACCTATCGGGCCAAATACGAGGGGGTAAACACGGTATGCAGTGCGTGTGCAGAGGAGGAGGAAACTGCCGAACACTTTATCATGTTCGGTAAAGGGCTTCACCTTAGAGTACAGTATGATGGCGCAGAGTTTTTCAAAGCAATGAGGTTTAGGGACAGGGAGAGCAAAATAGACACTAAGCAGGTAGAATGGACTAGAAGGAGGTTATCTAATAGGCGGCTAAAATCAAGGCACGAGTAAAAATTAAACCCTTCACTGCAAAGTACCAGTCCTCAAATCCACTATTTAAAGAAAAAAAAAGGTATATCTAGTTTTCGGTTCACTAAGTATTACGGCTAGGTGGCGTTAGCCGCCACCCGATCTAAAAGGTACAGCCAATCCATCCATCTATCCAACCATCTTTTCCACAGCGGCAGTCATGGAGTGCGCAGCGCGGCTGCGTGGCAACGCAGTCCAGAATTTCGAACTCGCAGAGCGGCTGCAGCACGGCAGCGCCGACAAGTGGATCCAGACTTGTGGAATCGCGAAACTGCAGCGAAACGGCAGCGCCGGCAAGCCGACCCGGAGCTGAGGGCTCGAGAAGCTGCAGCGGCACGGAAACGTCGTCAAGCTGACCCAGAGGCGGCGAGGACTCGCGCAGGTGCAGTGAAACGTCAGCGCCGGCAATGTACGGGGGAATTCACGGTAAATGATCCCCCGGAGTTTAGCCCACTCGTCATCATTCCCTTCGTGGATATGCTGAGATTTTTTTTTTTTTTTTACGGGTAAGTAGGGAGGCATTCATTAAGCAATCCTTCGCCATTCTTCGGAGAAGCGTGGTGGTCGCTACACACATACAAAGAATATTGCGCAATTTTTCGATGTTGTGGCTGACGACGACGAATAGTTATGCCTGAAGCTTTTTCAATGGGTTGGAGCATTCGACGACCCACTCATCACGCAATTCACATTGTATGACGCCTGGCTGTGTCTTTGCTGTTCTGAAACGCTTTATTAATGAT